ACAATCACCATTATCATCGTCATCATCATCTGAGCCTTATCTCAACTATTTAGGATTGGGTGCACAAATCTTGTTCCGCCATTCCGCTCTATCAAGGACCATACCCTCAGTCAGACCATAGGTCACCATACCTCTTCTCACTACTTTCATCCATGTTCTTTTGGGCATTCCGTATCCATTTTAGAGCCTTCGACTTGGACCAAATCCCCCTTCCTAACCGATACTATTTTAAGTCGACGCTGCACATGATTAGACCACCTAAGTCTACTTTCTCTCATTTTATTACCTATTTGAGCTACCCCTAAGTTCCCTCTGATGTATTGATTCTGAATTATTGTCTTTATTGTTTTGCCACTCATTCATCTCAACATCCTCATCTCAGTTACACTCATTCTATGAATATGGTGTTTCTTTACTGCCCAATATTCCATCCCATAAATCATGGATGATCTTACAGTCATCTTATAGAACTTTCCCTTCCATTTCATTGCTATGCGACAATCACATGAGACTCCAGAAATACATCTTCACTTTGTCCACCCAACTCCAAGTCTTTATATTTTTTTTGGTGTGGTTTGCGTGAGGTTGCAACCTTAAAAAATCTAAGTAAGGTGCACCTCCAAACTCTGTCATGAGATGCAATTTTGGTGATGAAAATTCTTAGGATGATGCAAGAATCTAGTTTTATCTCTTAACAATAAAATTTTAAGCTCAAAAAATAGTTCAAATCAAGCATATCTATAAACACATGAAAATCTTGAAAATTGACAGTCCAAATAATATGTTGTAAGATGTACTGTTTTTAGGACTTGAAATCTCCTTTTTTCTCTCCATATCTATATCTATCAATTAGATGGTTTTCCAACATCAAAAGTCAAACAACCTTTTTTTGATGGATTTAGAGGTGCACCTTAGTTCTACATTTCAAGGTGTCAACCTTATATAAACTTTTTCCTATTTCATGTCGCCGGGTTGTTGGAATATAATGAAACTACACTTTTTAAAAAACGATATTTATGGACGCCAAAAATTGCATACCATCTCTTCATCCTAATAATCAATCCCCATAAAAATGGAATTCAATTTGCATCCTAGATATGGTCAAAATGAGTACCCTCCAACAATGAATCTAACCATCCATTTAGTGAATTTCAAGATCTATCTTTTACAAACTCAAAATCATTTTTCTCTTTTTAACATTGTTTATCTAATGATAATAAAATAATCTAAAAAATTTGGAAATGGAAAAATCTTTCTAAGGCCTAGATCTGAGCATCTCACCAAAATGGACGGACCGTATTAATTGGGCTAAAAAAATGCTTTCTAGGGTGCGTTTTTTAGTTTTCTTTTTGTATTTGTTTATTAAAACAAAAAGAGAGGGCAGGTTTGCCTGTGTGCGCATGCGTGCGTGTATTGCATACTCCCATGAGGTAGCTAATTTCGACAACATTAGCTTGTGAACCAAAAATCCTAAAAAAACTATCTAGGTTCAACCCAAAGTTTTCACAATCCTAAAGAGAAATACGAATATAAGTAAAAACCAGAAAGTGGATTTCCTTAGGAAAGAGAAAATTCAGTGAACACTGCCCATCTATTTAGATCTAGGATTTTAAGATATCAAAATCAAAATTTATGTCTCTGTTTTCAATTTGTTCATCTGGTGATCTACAAATTTGTGGTCAAACAAATGCGCCTAAGGCCCGCAAATTGAAGCTGGAGGGTATCTATGATGAGGAAGAAATTGACCCTGAAAGCTAAAGAGTATCTTTTTTGAGATTTTTGTGGAATTTGGCAACCTCTTTGTTACACTCCACCACTCATGTAAGAAAGCAAATGAGATGGCTTATTAATTGGCTGGGATGGGGTTAGAAATTCAGGTTTATGTTTTATCTTTGTTGTAATCATCCAGGAAGATCACTTTCGTGATAAATTATAAATATATTCTTGTAAAGTCTTACCATATCAATGGGTACATTCACTAATCGTGTCCCCCGCCCCCCCGCCCCCCCGCCCCCCCCCATTCCTTAAAAGTCTATTTTTTGGGTGATTTTTTAAGATTTCCTTTCATAAGCATGTTTGCCAGGATGACTATGGTTCATCGACAAAATCTAGAGTCAAGCAAATCCCCCAAAATAGCCTTTTTTTAGGAATTTTTGGGCCGTGAGCTAATGCTATATAAAGTAGCTCATGACAATATGCAAGCATTCCCAATATACGTGTGCGTGTACTGCAGGTGTGCATGCAAGCGGTCGGGCAGGCACACGTGCTTGTTCGTATGTATGTGTGCGTTGTGTCCAGAGTTCAATTGGCAATTAGAGTTAGTTCCAATTAGAAAAGCAACAACTAGAACTTGTTCCACATGATTTTGAGTGACTGATCTGATCCCGTTGTTTGTTATTTATCCTGGACCACAAGCACTTTCTGACTGTGAAATCTGGACTCAAGCAATTTGATGGCTCCTAGAATTTAATCTTGGCAATTCATTGTACTCCTTGTGAAGAAAGTTGCAAGCTCTTGTGGTGGTCCATTCGTGGTGGTAGCACCACTTGTACCCCAGCTAAGGTCTCCAGTCTCACCTAACACATTCAAAAACCACTAACGATTGCAAAAAACGGGTAGGGGCTCGTCATCCCCACTGAATTACCCAAAAACAAAAAAAACTGCTTCAAACAGTATACTTAATCAATAATATACTTCAGTGGATATAGTAGATGCTTTGAGTGGGAATACCTGTTTCCATTGGAAGTAGACCTTGTCGAGGAGTTGCCCGTTGAAATCTTTACACGGGAAGTAGAGCTTGTTGAGAAGTTGCCTGTCTTTGGACAATTTTGTTGGATTGCATTCACTGGTGTATATTCCTTGTTGCTGAATGTTGCATAGGATCTTCAAGTGGAAGAATAGAAAAAGATTGTTTTAACTTTGCCTTTAAAGTATGGTGTTAAATTGTATCCCGACACAAAAGTATATTGCCAAACATGCGATACAGTACTCAATCATATGCCTATAGTGATCAGTTTTCTTTTAGGGCATCATGTCTTGTATCAGATTGAGCTTGCAGTTCAACTTATCATGCCTTTGCTGGAGGATTCATATTTTTCCAATGGTGTTTTTTTCTTTGGTTGTAATTTATGTTTCCTATGCCTGGTCATCTTTCAGCTTCCACATACTGAAAATGCATGGATACGCGAGTTTGCGAATGAACAGCAGCAGCGTGGAAACACCGAGGATCAATGGGTCAATGAGTTCTCCAAGCTGCATCTGCAAGATTGGGGTGATGAGTTCCATGATCAGATGTCCAAGGGTGCTTTTGGAGATGGTCCGACTGATCATTGGGCTGATGAATATGACAAGTAAGTTCTTGCAACGTAAAGTTTATCTTGAATGCTTTCCAGTAGTCAATTCTTTATAGTTTGGGTCTCACCTCATAGTGGAACAAAAGAATGCAGCTCTTAGAAGTCTTATGAAACTGTATGGATTGTGTCAGTGACATGATGCTTCTGTTCTTAATTCCTTCATTTTGTCTTTGTTATTCTAGGTGCTGAAGTGTAATTTTATCAAGTCCTCTCTTATTTATGACGCATTTGAATGTGAACTGCAGGTTTCTTGAAGAGAGTTTGGGGCCGGTCCAGAAGCCATCAGGTTCTTCAAGTGGGATCTATGTTTTTGCTAGTCAGAATCCTTATGTTGGTCATCCAAATCCTCTTAAAGAAGGTCAGGAGCTATTTCGTAATGGGCTTTTAAGTGAAGCAGTGCTCGCTTTGGAGGCTGAAGTTTTGAAGAATCCTGACAATGCTGAAGGATGGAGGTTGCTTGGAATTGCAAACGCTGAAAATGATGATGACCAGCAGGTGAGAAGAATTTTCTAAATGCTGATGTGCATTTCAAAGCTCACCATATACACACAAGTTCTGCTAATAAATTTCTGGACATATTTAGTTAAGAAAGGGGCATATTCAAATCTTTAAGCCATTGTATGGGTTATTTATATTTTACTTGCATAGATTCTATTCATTATGCTATGATTGTATTGGATACTATATCTGAAAGATTGGCCTTGCTTGCTATTCGCTTTTTACTGTTAACAGTTCAATAGTTTCTTACTTGTATTTAATGCCATGTTTGATAGTTTTTAGAATCACATGAATCATTGATATTTTTTCATCTGATGCTCATACAGTTTGACTAATGTAGGGATCGATATTTCCATGTATGTAGAAAATGAACTGCAGCGGATGACTCACTAATCTAGGGATTGCTAGTTATCTTTGGTAGCTTATCTGAGATTTCGCAAGTGCTGTTGGTTTTATTTGATCTTTATTTCTTGTTAAAAGAAGGAAAATAAGTGACATGGATTCCAGTTCTGAGTTAATCAAATTGAGTTTCAGAATCAAAGGGATGTTTTAAATAGTGATTGGGCTCGTGCCACAAGTCCTGTGAGTTGACTTGTTTACTTGCTTTGGAGGTGGTAGCTAGAGACTCCCCCCTTCATCATCTGAGATTCTCTTTATGCCCCAGCTAACCCATAGACATTTGGTTATTCTTTTTATTATGCCCAAGTGCACATTTTGTGTCACAATCTAAATCTTCACGAATCAATGAAAGCACACAATTATTAACTATAAAAGAATTGATTGGACTTTGGGCACTTTAATATGGTGATTGAGAATTTACATTATGAAGTTACCTGTTCTTGCTGCAGGCTATTGCGTCAATGATACGTGCAAGGGATGCTGACCCTACAAACTTGGAAGTACTTCTTGCTCTTGGCGTAAGCCACACGAATGGTGAGTTGGTTTGATGTGCTATATCAATCCTATCGTGAGAAACATCTTTAGTTATGGTCTCATAGGCAGCATGGTCATTCCAACTTATGTTTTTGTGACTGTTTATGTTATTGAATACATTATTCGTTTGAAAGTAATTCTTTCTAGTTTGTCATATGCTTGCTTGATATGGTCAGGACTCCCAGCAATTTCATGTTCTATTTTTAAGTAGTATTTCCTGATTCCTTCGAGCTCCACAGTTCATTTTATGATGTAATACATTTATGTCTATGAAGAACTCTGAAACTGTTTTAGAACAATTGGAAAACAGAAGCATATGCCTTATTTGTAGAGGTCAGCCATGTTTGATGGTTTCAGATTCTTCTCTGTCAATGAGAGTTGGACCTGATTTTGCAGACATGCTAGACGCACGGCATTTGTTAGCTACTGTTGTAGGTACCCAGTTGTTTATTGGGAAATATCTTGTGGCCAAACTTCTTCATGGGTATGCAAAAGAATATCACTATCAACATTTCATCTCTGTGTGCTGTTCATCAAAACTATTCATCATGCAAATGTGTACCTCTTGATTAATTTTTAAATGTCCTCTGTGTTTGATTAATTGGAACCATACAGAGAAAGATTATCAAGTCCTCCACACAAGGATGACACACTCAAATCAATAGATGGTTCAAACTTTATCCACACAAAAATAAAAGAAAAAATAAAACAGAACTGCTGTTGACATTAGTGACAAAATGCCATTATGTGTCTAGGAGTATGGTTTTGATTGTTTGGATTGATGAATTGTAGTTAATGGTTTAACCTTGTAATGGTAGGACTTCAAGTTCAGAGGTGCTAGATCAGCTAAATGATCATCATAATCTTGTAGTTGATGTCATTTTTGGCAAGAGAAATTGGGTGTATATGTCATTGAGTTTAGAATAATTGAATTTTTTTCCGACCTTTCAGAGCTAGAACAGGCGGCAGCTTTGAAATACCTTCGTGGATGGCTTCAACATCATTCGAAGTATGGGACACTTATCCCTCCTGGGGAACCTGATGTTCTTGTGCATGCTGATGTAAGTGTCTGTGTTGCTCATAAACTTTATTACCATCTATATCATGATCTTTCTCTGAAATAAGATGGTTAAGATGGATGACATCTGATTCCAGTCATAGTACCTTGTGATAAGAAAAGTGGGGCATATTAGAATGAAGAGTCTTCCTTACTGGAGCTACGTGCTTCATTACTCAGTCAATGTATTTCTCAAGTTAAATGCCTCTTTATTCCTTCAAGTGTTTTATTTATTTATTTATTTTTTTGTATTTATGCATTCAAATCTTCAATGTACTTCTAATGTTTTTTTGGCTATTTATGGTGGAAGGTGATTCGCTTTATACCATTATAAAGTGGGCATGCCAATACTATGGAATTTTGGTGGAGGAATGTTGGTGTAATGGATGAGATCTTTGGTAACCTGGTTGTGGATTGTGTTATCCATATTGTTAGAGAGGTCCAGTGTGCCTGGCCTCGGCTGACTCTATTTGGACATGCCAATTAACGTGCGAGGTCTCGGCGAGTTAGGTGTACAACTCTCCAGGCCCAAATAAATACTAAAAAAATAAATTAAAGATGAAAAAAGTATAAAAAAATAGAAAACACAAGCATAATTGTTAGAAATACTTCTTTAGAAGATGCCGTTAGTTATTATGATCATTTGGGAACTTTCATATTTTTCCCTTCTCTTAAATTCTTTTTGAAATATTTGTGCTATAAATCCAATTATTCAATAATCAATATTTTATAGTTTTTTTCCATCTTATTTAGTCTCCTAATGATTCTATTAATCCTTTTTACTTCTTATTTTTTAAGATTTTTAAGATATTTTTTACCCTTTTCTTAAAAGTTATTTCATTTTTTTTGTGGTGTACTTAACTTGGTCGAGTCCAATCGGCTCAGCCGAATTACTCGGCTCGGCCAAGGGCCTAGTACCTTGACTGAGTTAATTTTCTGAAACACTGGAGAGATCAATCAAAAGGCTGGTTCCCTTGCCATCAATAGAGCGGATAAAGGTTCTTTCGATTTTCGCTTTCTTTAATAGACTAAGTTCTATTAAAGGGAAGTGTAAAAGAAGTGGCCACATGACCAAAGACATGACTTCCCCAAAACAACTACCTCCCTTTTACAAATGAGACTTCCTATGAACTACACCTCACATTAGCCAAAGCACAAGTTCCAGTTCGCTCCCCTCACAACATGTGTTTTGTGTTCTAGAAACCCTATGTTTTGAAATAATATTTTAAAATGTAAATAACCCTTTATTAAAGGTAAAAAAATGAGAAAAGTTCCATAGCCTTACATCTAAAGGAAACGGGCTTGGGTCAATACGGTACGGGCTAGGTTTTCATAGCCCAACATCTCAAGTTCCATTCTTATGTAACCTTGTCAAAAAAGAAAAGAAAAAGAGAAAGTTCCACTTCTACAAATTATGACTTGGGTACATAAATGAGAGTGGAAAGTGTTAAAAGCACCACCTCTAAAGGTGATAAAAAGTTGTATCATCCATTACATGCATGCTTATATGGATGTCCTCTCCTCCAACTCACTCTTGCATAGTAGCTAAGATATCACTATACAAGCCTTTTTTGGAATTCTTTAGTGATATTAACATATTTATTTTTCATCTTTAATCTATTTTGTTATCTTATTAATTAACTTGTTGAAACTTTTACATAGTATCTAATTATGGTCTTTTGTGATCTTTATATTTCATTTAACTCATGGAAATTTAATGAGCTGTTTGTTTGCATAGCCTAGTCAGCCCATGTTTGAAAATTGGTTCTTCTCAGTTTTTGATGTGTAGTTGATGAAATGGAATTTTCTCATTTATACTCATTTTTGTCTTTGTTATAGCTCATTTTTATCTTTGTCATAGGTTGCTGGATATTTTAATGAAGCTGCTCGAATGGCCCCAGAGGATGCTGATGTCCATATAGTTCTCGGTGTGCTGTACAACTTATCCAGGGAATTTGACAAAGCTATTGCATCCTTTCAAAAGGCATTGAAACTCAAACCACACGATTATTCTCTCTGGAACAAACTTGGTGCTACTCAGGCAAATAGCGTTCAAAGTGCTGATGCAATATATGCATACCAACAGGTATATATCTCTATAAATTATTGTTAAGATTGGGAGAGAAAAGAGAGAGAGTATAATATTCAACCACAGGTAAATACATATGTTTTTCACACACTACAAATCATAGGGTATGTACCTTATATATATATATATATCTATATTTATGGGGGTTACACTAAAGGTAGGTCAACATGCAAAATGAATTTCAACCATTATAGCAGGAGTTACAATATCAATTACAACAGGTTCTAATAGCCATTTATTCATAGGAGTTGCAGGTCTTAATAGGCATGATCCCATAACGGCATAACAGCCACTTCATGAGGCCCATTATGTATAGGAGTTGCAACTGTTATATAGGTTTTCTTGAGCCCATAACAGTTGCTACACTCCCCCTCAAACTGGAGTCATATATATTATAGATGCCCAACTTGCTCAAAGTATCCTTTAGTCAAACTCGATTAGAGGCCTTGGTAAGTGTGTCTACCAATTGATTTTCAAAGCGAACAAATGGATACATATCTTTTTTGAAGAGACTTTTTCTTTGAAAGTGCAATGACCTCTATATACTTGGTTATTTCATGAAATACTGGATTCAAGGCAATATAAATTGCCGCTTGATTATCACAAGAAATAATAGGAGTTGATAAATTAACACCCTTTCCAAATTAATTTCACATGTAGCACTTGCCATTGCTCGATACAGTGTTTCTGCTGAAGATTGAACTACAACACTTTGCTACTCACTCTTTCAAGTGCCTAAATTACCACCGACTATCTTAAAGTAGTCACTGGTAGATTATCGATAAATAGAACACCCTGCCCAATACGCTTTGCAGAAACCTTGTACATCAAATGACCGTGACTAGTATAGAATAGCCCGCTTCCTAAAATAGATTTTAAATATCGTAAATGTGATAAACAACCTCTAAGTGATGAGAGCATGGTGCGTGCATAAATTGAGTTGCGACGCGAACAACATATGCAATGTCTGGCCGTATGATAGTCAAATAAATAAGTCTACCCACTAATCTTTGATATACACCGGGTTACTCAGAAGCTCTGACAATTGAACGTACAGTTGTGATTAACGTCTATAGGAGATTCTGCTGGCTTGGCTATAAGCATTCCTGTGTCTTTGAGGAGATCAAGAGTATACTTCCTTTGACACAAAAAAATTCATTTTTTAGACTTAGGCACCTCTATTCCAAGGTAGTATTTCAATGGAGCGAGATCCTTGATGTCAAAACAATGCCCAAGAACTCTCACTTCTCGAATTTTGTGATCATTATTTCCTATGAGCACAACATCATCCACATATACTATCAATATTGTGTTAGAGCAAGATTCTCTTTTAACAAATACAGAATGATCATAAACACTCCTTTGAATCTGAATTGACATATTGGCATACTGAATTTTTCGAACCAAGCCCTAGGTGATTGTTTCAATCCATATATAGCTTTCCTCAATTTGCAAACCTTCCCTTTCTCCCCTTGAGGATAAAACCCAGGTGGTAATTCTATATATACTTCCTCTTGTAGAGCTCCATGGAGGAAAGCATTCTTCACCTCTAGTTGGTGGAGTGGCCATTTCCTATTTGCTTACCCGTACTGATTTCAACTTTGCCACAGGAGCAAAAATTTCCTTATAATCAACCCTGTGTAACTGTGTAAAACCTTGAGCCACCAGACGAGCTTTGTATCTCTCAATCAAACCATCTGGTTTGTGCTTTAGGGTATACACCCACGTGCATCCTCTCACATGTTGTTCTTTTGGCCGATCAATTATATCCCAAGTTCGTTGCTCCTTTAAGGCAATCATTTCCTCAATCATGGCTGCTTTCCACTATGGATGAGCCAATGCATCTGCAGCTTTGGTTGGAATATAAACAGAGGAAGTAGAGCAAAGGTATGCAAGAAAAGAAGGTGAAAGTGAAGCATAAGAAACAAATTTACTGATTGGATGAGAAGTACAATTCCTTTTTTCCTTTTATTATGGCAACATGTAAATTGAATTCAAAAGGTATACGGGCAGGAAGAGAAGTAGTACCTGACAAGTCAACGAGTTGGGGTTAATCGTTTACATTAGACTTTCCCTAGTTCTTTTTCTAGGTGTACACTTTCAGCCGTTTCTCAGTAGATTCCTCATGTTCCTTGGTTGGATTACTAGAACTATTTGTGATCATTGGAAGAGGAATAGGATTGTTGGGTGGCATAGTGGATGTCAAATCTCTTTGGGGAAAAAAAAGGGTATATTCTCATAGAATGTAACATTCTTTGAAATAGATTTTCTTTTAGTTTCCTGACAGTAACACTTGTATCCGTTGTAAGAATTCGAGTATCCTAGGAACACGCATTTGGTAGATTGAGGTTCTAATTTATTCTTAACTGGCCTCAGTGTATGCACAAAGCAGACACGACCAACAAAATTTGGTGGAAGAGAAAACAGAGGAAGTGTATGGTGGAGAAGTTTGAAAGGATAAGAACCATCAAGAATAGGTGTAGGCATTCTATTGATCATATAGGCAGCAATAATAACTCTTCATTTCAATGTCTTAGGACCCTATGTTCCTATTAAGATGCCTCTCACCACTTCTAACGTGTGTCTTTTTTTCCATTCTGCCACACGATTTTGTTGTGGTGTATAGGAACATGATGTTTGAATTTCTATACCATGTTCTTGAAAATAATTCTTGAATCCATGGTTGAGATACTCTCGTGCATTATCAAAACGGAAAATTTTTATTTGGGTCATTCACTTAGTCCAATCACTCTTCTTCCCTTATCCTTTCTAAATTGGACCTGTTTTTAGTAAGTTTGGAGTGGGATTCTTCTTTCTTTAGATCTCACATCTCTGCCTTACCAAAACCCACCTCCGACCATTGCCTGTTATTGATGGACACAAATCCTGCTTTGAGAGGTGCCAAACCTTTTGAATTTGAATTGGCATGACTAGAAGAAAGGCCTCTTTTGTCCCTTATTCCCTCTTGGTAGTTGTCGGTTTCTGGTTGGGCTGGTTTCAGAATCCAGTGCAAGCTTCACCTTATGAAGGTGTCTCTAAAATCCTGGAGCTGCTAGTTGCTTGGGTCCTTCCAATCCTAAAAATCGTCCATGCTCCAGGCGATTCAAAATATTGACATCTTGGAAGAATCCAGGCTTCGGACCAAGAACATCAACTGAGGTCCCAACTCAAGATCGAGTATTGACCAATCCTCAAGAAAAAGAGATTTCTTGGCACCAGAGATCCATAATCAAGTGGTTGCACTGCGGAGAGTTCAACACTGGATTTTTTCACAAAACGGCAAACTCTAGGTGTAGGGACAATACAATCTCTCACTTTAACATTTGGCGACAGAATTCTCGTGCAACCTCTTGAGATTGAAGAAGCCATTCTCACATACTTAAAATAATTGTTTGCTGCTCTTGTCGGCCCCAGGCCCAGGATGGAGGATCTCTCCTTTATTTCCCTTTCCCCTGATAAAGTGTTATGGCTCAAGAGACCATTCTCAGAAGAAGAAATCCGAGCAGCCATTGATCAAATGGCTCCCAACCGTCTTTGATGGCTACCTCACGGATCCCTTCAAAATTTTCTGAGACTCTTTCCGCTGCGACATTCTCACTTTATTCGACGAATTCCACTAGATAGGAGTCATTAATAGAGCTGTGAATGCAACCTTTGTCACCCTTGTCCTTAAAATTAAAGGAGCTAAGCATCTAAAAGATTACCGCCCAATCAGCCTTATCAACTCAACCTATAAGATCATTTCATGGTCCTAGCCTCTCGCTTGAAAGAGGTTCTTCCCTTGGTTATTCTCCTTCCTAAAGTGCTTTTGTGAAAGACCGCTAGATTCTCGACGGGGCCTTGGTAGCCCATGAGTGTATCCACTCAAGACATTTAGCAAAACAACCTGTTCTCATAATAAAATTAGATTGGGAGAAAGCATGTGACCATGTCGATTGGGATATTTTGGAAGAATAGCTTACAAGAATGGGCTTTGAAAGTCGGTGGAGGATTTGGATGAAAGTGTGCTATTCCCAACCCTTCTGCTCAATCCTCATTGACAGATCACCGAAAGGCTATTTCTCTTCCTCCAGGGGTTTAAGGTAGGGTGATCCGCTTTCCCCATTCCTCTTTGCTACCCCAATCCTCATCACGAGGTGGATCCATAGGAATACCCTTGCCTTGACCTCTTCTTGTTGCCATAAGTTCATTGAATTCACCCTAGGTAAAGAACCAACAAAACCGTTGAAACCAGCAAATTTCTAGGCTGCTTTGGCGAAACTTGGCCTAAGATCACCAAACCCTAGACTTGTTGTAGATTCTTAGCTTTGTTGTTGAAGAAAACCTAGGTTCTAAAACTAGAGAAAAGAGGCAAGAAATAGTTCAATAACCATCAATACAGGTCACAAATTTGAGTGGATGCAGCTTTCTTTGCACAAAAACGTGACTACAAAACCCTAGATAGGGCTCACTATTCACAATATGTTTTTACTGTTCACACTTCAAAATGTTAGAAACCCTAATACTCATAGCCTTTTATTATATTATGATAGAAAAAGACCAAAACTACACCCACTTAAGTTAAAACATTATAAATATACCCCATAAGTCCCTTCACTTAAAAGTAAATTCGTAATGACAATTTTACTCCTGATAAAACAAATAATTCCATAAGTATTCTAACAAATTTTTTGAACATCTACTAAAATCCCAAAAAATTATAAAAAATCATCGACTCCCTAAAACAAACTTTAAACCCTAAAAAATGAACCGTAAGACTAAAATAAGAAGATACGTCTTTTAAAATTAATCAAAGATTTAAAATAAGAATAGCTTTGTCCTCCATCAAGTTGGAGGCATGGTTTGTAGTTGCATATCTACCTGGCTGCTCTACTAGTGTTTTAGAGTTGAGTCCAGCCTCGCGGGCAGTGAACTGGTGTTGTACATCTTTGATCACCTAATCTCTTGGACTAGATATATTAGGTTGTGTGGCTGTTCCCCTCACTCGATACAATATGGGCCCTTGCATTTCTTGGTTTCAGTTTCAAGTGTGGATGCAAGTCCCAACAATGCTCATGCTATCAGGTGTCTCCTCTTCCCACAATGGGAGCATTTAAGTTTCTCCTTTTCAATGGGAGATAGTGGAGCACGATCTTGTCCTTTCATACCCACTTCTCCTTGTTTAAAGCTTGTTGCAAAGGCTGATTGTTCATGATGGATGCTTGAGTTTTGTCCTTCTGCAATGACTTTTCTACTGGACTCACCCCTTAAATAATTATATATAGATTCAAGATAGGGCAATTTGTCCTTTCTTAGAACCTGTACTCTCTGAAGTTCAAATTCAGGATATAAGCCTGCTAAGGACTCAAAGATCCTTCTTTGCTCGAACCGTTTCGTAATGTCATCAACAATGGGATTAATAGGCGGATAGTGGTCTAGTTCTTCGCGCATTTGCCGTATTATCCCAAAATACTCTTTCACAGTCATTTCTCCTTGCTGCAAATTCGCTATTTCACAATGCAATTGGTAAATCTCAGCCATATCTTGTCGTTGTATGTATGTCTTGGCTACTGTCTCCCATATATCCTTTGCAGTCTTAAGATATAGCACCCCCTGCTGATACTTGGATGCATGGAATGAAGGAGCCATGCCATCTTGTCAAGTTTTCACTTTTCCATTCATCATGGGATGGATCATTTGTGGGAGGCTCTCTCACTTTTCCTGTGATATAACCCAATTTCCTCCAGGTTCCTATAAACATTTTGGCAGATAGGGACCATTCTAAGCAGTTTGTTCCATCTATTTTAGTTGTAGTAATGATCAATCCTGGGTGGTCAGATTGACTGCTTCCCATGAATGTGCTTGATTTCCAACATTTTCCTTCTCTCTCTAACCGTTTTTTTTTCTTTTCAAGCTACTAATTCCTTAGTTTTGAATGTGAGGTTGATGGAAATGTGAGATTGCTGGAAATATGAGATTGCTGGAAATGTGAGATTGCTGAAAATATGAGGTTGTTGAAAAAGAAAGGAGTGTGGGATTACTGTGAGGTTGCTGGAAATGTGACATTGCTGAAAATATGTGGTTGTTGAAAAAGAAAGGAGTGTGGGATTATTGTGAGGTTGTTGAAAATGTGAGGTTGCTGGAGATGTGAGGTTGCTGAAAAATAAACAAATTTGGGATGAAAACTTACTTATTGGTAAAAGAAAGTGAGATAATCTTGCTGGAAATACGGGGTTGCGGTTGCACCTCAGCTTCAAGCCCAAGAAGGAAGAAAAAACATGATTCTAGGGTCGCTGGAAGTACTGGATATCAAGTATATATGTTTTTCACACTCTACAAAGCGTAGGGCAATGTGCCCTATATATATACACACATTCCTATGGGGGTGTTTTTTTTTGGGTAAGTTAGTGGGGGAGAAGGCCCCCTACCCGTGTTTTCATTAGTCAATGAGCAGAGAAAAACAATTAATGTACAACCCTATAGTGGGGCAATTGCCCCAGATCATGTAATAAAAGAGAGGAAAGAAAATCTGATGGTCTATAGCGCCACACAGTAGCACCGGGGTCAGCAGATGCCCTCTTAGCAAAGGCATCAACAACCATGTTTGCCTCCCGATAAACATATGCAATGGACCATCGGTGAGAAGAAAGTCTGGTACGGCAATTATTTGCAATCGTCTTTAGCCACCATGGAGCGTGGTATTGATTCTGAATGACATCCACAAGCAGGTCCGAATCACTTTCTATTTTTATTAGAAAGCAATTTCTCTGATGAACCAACTAGACTCCTTTAAATTCTGTTACAATAAGTCAACATGGAAAATGAATTACAATCATTACAGCAGAGTTACAAACAATAGCTGTTATGACAGGTTCTAATGGGCATGAGGTCCACTATTCATAGGAGTTGGAGGTCTTAATGGCATTGATCCCATAATACCATTACAGCCACTTCGTGAGGCCCATTATGTATAGGAGTTACAGCTGTTACGTAGGTTTTCAGTCCATAACAGTTGCATGAGCCCATGAGAATTTCTCCAATTATTAATTTTGTGATTCTGTGGTTTAGCACTATTATTTAATGTCTTGTTTTGTCATATATTGTGCTCCATCAATTAAAAGAGAATAGGGAGCTTCTGAAGCATGGGAACCTACTTTTTCTCTGTCAGTAGTCAGTGATGACCTGCTCGTTATGATAGGCAGCCATTCATCCTGCTGGTCTTGTGGGGTTTGTGAAAAAGAGTGTAAGTTCCTCTTTTTTGACTTTTGGGGGTAATGTGAAAGAATAGTTTTTTTTTTTTCTTGATAATATTAACATTGTATTGCTATATGAAGAAAGTGTGAAAGAATAGTTGTTAAAGCAAAAATGTTTTGAAAGGAGGACAGAATGTGCCTTTCCCAGAAGAATGTACCTTTCCCAGTTGTAACCTATAATAGATGCATGTTTCATATTATTTCTGTTTTGGAAAAAAAATCCTGATCAGCCAGCATGACTAGAAGTTAATGTCTGTAATGTCAGCTAACCTGTCTTTGACACCTTAATTGATGTGTGAGGTCATAAGAGTCTGTTGGTTGGTAAATTGTCTTTCTTTTGTGCAAGACCACTGTGTCAGGGCTTGGCTTTACTGTTTAGAAAACAAAATTCATGCATTTTGGAAATGTTATTATTGTTGCTTCTTTGAATTGTCCTGATCTTTATCTGAAATCTGTGGACCATAGTAATTCTTTGTTCTGATGCTTCTTCAGGCTCTAGATTTGAAGCCTAACTATGTTCGCGCATGGGCCAATATGGGAATCAGTTTTGCAAATCAGGTATACGCTATCTCCTGAAATAATATTAATATTTGAATGTTGATGAAATGGATTTGATGTGTAATTTGGGGACCTCATAAAGCCTTTTTTTTCTCTTGCTACATCTGGCCTTATAAATCGATTTTATTATTTTCTCAGCATTTTTAATTTAGGAAAATTTATCAAAATACCTCTAAGAGATGATTTATTTAACAATCTACCCTTTGGAACTATTCCAACTCTATACAATCTGTTATTTAATGGGTATTCTGAAAATAAATCACTCGATATAGGTAAAGTGTTAAATTGTTAATCTCACATGGGTAATTTGATAAATTTCTCTTTAAGTTATTTATTGCATGATAGCATGATCTGAATCACTACATTATGATAAGAACAATTCTGCATTGTTGGTGTAAACTGTGTATCGCCGTATCTGTTAACTGATTTATGTACACTCGTATGTACACTCCGAGATTGCTTGCATCTCTCTTTTGCTGGTGACACCTTTTCATTAAACAGTCAGGGAATTGGGAGTACCCTTCCTTCTATAACTTCACTGGAATGAATAACAGTAAATGGGTCAATGCTGCTATCTCGGTTCTGTAAACTAGGAGTTTTATGGCCCTTTCAGATTCAAAGTTCAAAACAGATGTCTCCTTTTCCTGTTTCATGCTGAGTAGCTTTTTCCTCGATATCATTTCCCAAAGGCTATTATCTTCTGGGAAAATAAATAACCTGCCCTACCACTTTTAGTACTCATCCCTTGTTAGTAGCATGACTTAATACATCTTAAGCTGGATAAGGACCTCAGGCCTACGGTATTTTTATTGTTTTCAATGTATGGGTGTAAATTTTTTCTTCTCCCTAATTGTCATTTGTTTTAGAAACCAGCTAGTTTAACAACTGATTATATCTTGGTATGCAGGGTCTCTATGACAAGTCCATCAGCTACTACGTGAGAGCACTTTCAATGAATCCTAAGGCGGAAAATGCATGGCAGTATCTGAGGATTTCTCTGGGGTAAGTCAAAATGGTAAAATTGTGGCACCCAATGCATGACTACACTGTAGCTTAGTGCTAGAAGATGTAGGGGAAAGGCAATAAAAGAAGCCTTGCAATGAACTATGGAGGAATGATCATCTGCATGGGTTCCGATGAACCTATCTGATTCTTTAAATCAGAAACTTAGGAAGGCATTCAATGAATGTTTTTTGACCATTCAAAGCATCACACAGTGATTTAAAAATTGTCGATCCAGATTGGAATCAGTGGGTGCGCAGGTTGATTCTTGCCCGGAACCAGGAATTGGCCTAGTTCAGAGTGACCGGTCTCTAAAATTGCTTGGTTCCAACCCATTTCATATTTTATGTTTTTCATTTTTTTCAAATATAAAAATTTTATATTTTTATTATTGTTGGACTAAATTCTCACACCAGAGAACTGGTCTGATTCTCCCCACATTGGCAATCCAAATCGGTCCAGCCGTTGACCGATCCTCCCGACCTATTTGGGTTTTAGCGCAATGGTAACACATACAAAACATTATTCCAGCTATTGTCATCAACTATTGTAACCCCAATAAGCTGATTTTATATGATCGTTTCCCTGGAAATCCTAAAATGTTGTGGATCATTTGTAATAACCATTCAATGTATCAGTGTGTGTTTTTTATTTAAAACAATACCCCATGTAGGGAACCTGGGCTTGGGTGGGTGGCTTTAACGCTCATCTACCCAATAAAAAGAAAACTATTTCATCTAAAGCCCCCCCCCCCAATATGGGCCGAGGACAAAAGGATATGATTCTCCAAAATTAATGCTAAAATGATACAAATCACATGTTATGACATGGCTTTTTTTTCTTATGCAGGTGTGCTTCTCGGTACGATATGTTGAATGCATGTGATACTCGGAATCTTGATGCTCTCCAAAAAGAGTTTCCACTGTGATGTCCTTTTCAAACATTGGTCATCGTAAATTGTTTGATTCCCATGACTCATTCCTTTCTCTCACTAGGATTGAAGATGGGTTTGTAAAGCTAGTATCTCACTGCATTCTCAATGGATCTTGGCTAGAGGAGTTTCTGGTTTGGTGTGGGAGGAGAGAGTAAGTTGGGAAAAAGAATAGAAAGTCATAATGATTGTCCATCATCAGTGAGCCATTAGGGGTGCCTATGAAGTCACCAGGTGATTGCATTTTAGCCAAACCTTGAGAGATAGTGGCTCACAGCATAATAAAGGGGATCCTCGGCACCACATTTTCGAGCATGATGCGACTGTAATAATATCATCAAACTTGCTTGTAAAACATGGTCATGGATGCCCTTGTACAACACATAAAAAGATGTGGATCATTATAGATGAAATTATTTGTAGGCTATCTATATATAAGGGTAGTTGTTGGCCATCCCAACTCTCCTTTCTCTCTCTCTCTCGCTCTCTCTCTCATTACTTTCATTGTCAGTTGTGGGGCTAGTTAGCGAGAGCACTACACCTGAGCTTCGTCAAGAAAATTTGGAATAAAATTTGATGTCTACTATTTGTGGGTTCTCATGGCTTAATTATCAACTATTGAAAGGTTCACTTCTTGGGCTATAGTTGAGTACCACTACGGAAAAAAAGGGTAAAAAGGTCGATGAAAACTTCTCATGAGAGAGACAGCATGGTCGTCCTTTGGATACTATCTGTGCATGCATGAGAAACAAGAAGTGGGTTATGCGGTGATTTTTTGTCATTTGCTTTGCAGAGAAGGGTGGTGGATATGGTATTGTTGAACGAGGATTAGGAAAAGGTTCCTTGTTTTTCTGATTTTTGTGGGGATTAGGAAGAGTTGATAGTTTGGAAATGGAGCCTTTTAAGGTCACCATCATCGATTGAAAGCGAAAGGAATATTGTAATCTGAGAGGGAAGATTCTGAGCAGTGGGGTGATCATATTTTACCCAATACTCAAACCTTTGACGTATTCCTAATTGGGGAATTTGTTTGTGATAGCTTCTGCTTTTACAGTTTATATATGTGTAGCTGTCTTGGCTTCGAGTTTGGGTAGGTAAATAAGAGGGAATTTTTGGGAGGATTAAGTTGGCTTAATGAGAGATTGGGCTTATTGACCCCTCAAAACTTAACCGAGTAAACAAGGATCAAACCAAACCCAAGTGACACCTAATCCAAAATCCTTTCCATTTAAAAAGGTTGATGATGTTTATAGGAAAAGGGCTTTGTCGTGGTAGTCACATACCTTGGTTACCATGTTGTGGTTTTCAATCCTCTTAGCACCAACCACTGATACTTTAAAAAAAAAGCTAATTTCCTAATCTATCTGGAAAAACCGAGCAGGGGCAGTTTGAATTAACCAAAAAAAAAAAAAAAAAAAGAAAGAAAAAACGAAGTTTGATGATGTTGACAAATGAGGTTTACATGTAACTTTGAAATGTGAACATTGCCTTCATGCAAAGGCTAAAAAACACTAAATTTCTGAGAGCTTCCCTAGAACTATAAGAGGACAGGTCATGTGGGTTGACTAGTGAGCACTCTCTTCTACATTAAACTGGTAGTGAGTTAAAAAATCTTTCAAGCTCAGGCCATCTCTCTGTCTCTGCAAATGGGTGGTGAATTACACCCTTCCATCGCATCTCTCTCTCTCTCTGCAAATGGGTAGTGACTTACACCCCTCCATGGCATCTATCTCTCCCACGGAGTAGTAGTGTGTGCAGAGGTGAACTATACCACACCCATGTCTCTCTGACACACATGCACGCGTTTGGTGTCTTAAGGAAAGAAAAAAACGTCTAGTCCTTTACTTTGAAATTGAACTCTTTAACTATTTCCTCACTCATCAGTGAGATCAAAGTGAGAGTGATCCCATTGCCTCAAACAAATATCTTCCCCCCATCTCAGCTCGGCTCGGTTAATTGTGAATGATTGGGGGGTAAAAACCAGACCAAAAAGGAAGAGAGAGAGAGAAGATATGAATGAAATGGAGGTGGCTGAGATGCTGTCTTCGAGCACACGCATGAAACCCATTCGTCTGACACCCAACAATTATTATTTTCACAATTTATGCATATAATATATTTCTCCTGTTTTTAGGTCGATACCTGATGGATAGATAGGATGAGGTGCTCTGAGGGTACACATTAACACACACACGTGTTTACTCACACGAGCTACTCTACTGGCTACACTCCTATACTGTTTGCTTGTTATTACTGCACAACTCTAGACTGCAGCTTTTGCTTCTCTCTCACGCCCTGCCCTTTTCTCCTTCCTTTCTTGTGCACTTTTTTTATTTATTTGTGAATGTGGTACTCTCTCTCTCTCTCCATACTGGTTGGGGCGCTATACTCATTCATTTATTGTGATACACTTTTTATTTAATTGGGTTGTATTTAAATAGTAAAAAATGCCCACGCCACAAGCAGTGGTGGTACAACCCGTACTTTATGTATAATATATAATAATGAGCATAGCCATGCCCAAAATCCACCTTCTTTCAAACCTCAAGATCCTCGTCTCTTTCACTCTACAGTCCCCAAACCCCTAACTCACTACTTTCCTTTTTCACCCTCTTCTCTCTTATCTTTCTTTTCATTACTCTCTCTCTCTCTCTCTTTCTCTCATACGCTGTGAATGAGTGTGAAATGATTTACTCTCTCTCTAATTTTTGAATGTGCATGTGTATGGATTTTGCAAACCAAATACTTGTTCACTTTTCTACTGTAAAAAACTAAATGGGTGTGATTTGCACAAGGTGGCAACCTTAAACAATCAAATTAATGCTTACCTCTAAATTTTATCATAAGATTTAATTCTGGTGTTAAAAATTGTTAGGATGATTCTATTTTCATAACTAATTATAAATTTTGAACTAAAAAAATTGGTTAAAATCATCTATAAACACACGAAAATCTTGAAAATGGATTGTCTAGAAAATTTATTCGCAAGATGCACTATTTTTTGTAGAGATTATCAATTAGATGGTTTTCCAACATCAAAACAACTTTTTTTTGGTGGATTTTTTATATGCAATTTAATTCTACATTTTAAACTAAAAAAATAAACCGGGGTGCCTGTTACTTTTCATATATATATATATATATATATAGAAATGGATGTATAGTTACTTTCTGTTGTCCATTTCCCAGTCGTTTCTGCTCCTCCCTAGCAAATGGGGCGATCCCATTGAACAACCCGAAGCGTTCACCGTCCATGAGAAATAAAGTTACCAGTGTTTTAACTCGGAAACCTTAGTAACCAACCTGATTTGTGAGAGAGTAGTTACTTATATCACAAACCTCAATACCCAGACAGAAATTGAAACATGCTCAAGTATTATCAAGTTAAGCCAAAGCATGCATAATAATAGAAAGGGTCTACTCATTCACAAGCCTAGGTATCTAGATAGAAAATGAAGCATGAGTAAATATTATTATTATTAGAATGAATCAAATATAAAGAGAAAGAAACATTTATTAAGAGGCGGCGTCTCATTTAGAAGGCGCAGAAGCAACAGTTTCACCAAATGATATCACCATAGCTAAAGAAGTAGTGTTGTATATGGTGGATGTTTTCTGTTCAAATGAAGCAGATACCCGCGCAATTATTATTGTTGTTCACTTGCCAATTATCACTCTAATCATTGCCAATTGTGGCATCAAATGACTGTGAATTATGAGAGAGAAAGACAAAGGAATTGCACTTTCTGATAGGGGGAGTTGCACTGCATTTCCTAAAGGAGATAGAGAGAGAGAGCTATGTTGCACTTTCTTTAGAACACACGAGAGAGAGAGAGAGAGAGAGAGATTATCGTTCCTAAAGGGGAACAAACGTAACGAGGAGGATGAAGTTTGGAACTTTCCAGTGACCCTAATGGTTGGGTTCCAATGTCGTTAGGCTCAATAAACTAAGTCAGTTTGCAATGTAATGGAGTACACCAACCAACTGGTTTTTCTTTTTCTTTTGAGTGAAGCCTTTGTTTTCAGATGTCTAATGTCCCTTACTACCATTCATACATACCCTTCTTAGCATCTCAGCAATGAAAATTCTATAAACCTCATTCTCTCAATCTACTAAGTTTTTATCCAACTTGAAGGAGACACTAATAATAAGTTGGATCCCTGAAATGCTTGAGAGAGGGAAACAATGGATAGAAAATTAGTCCTAGAGGAGCCCCCAAAAGGATTCTCTTACTAATAATAAGCTTGAGTTGGTGATTTTTAGAGAAGCAGCAAAAGATGACAATGGAATTAATGGTGTGGCATCCGAGTAGAATGTAACCCCAGGAGTAGACAAAGCTCCCCAACAACTACGCAAATTGATGCATTGCCCACTCTCTCTCTCTCTCTCTCTCATTAAGACAAGAGTATGAAAAGGAGAACAGCCCGACCACTGTGAGAAAAACATGGATTGGTAAACAAAAACACGAGCAGCAATGGAGGAGGCATGCAAGATGCGCGGAGCTGTGTTTCCAAAGTCGAATATCTCTGTCATCACTATTATTAAAGTTAGAGAGAGAGAGAGGTGTAAAATTCCATGCATCCATGTCCATCTCAACAATGGGGAGAGGGGGACAAAGAGCAGAAATTGAGGCTTGAGACATTGAGAAGATAATGCCAAAGGATTCGCCAAAATTGAACTTGATGGTGCACAGAAAACAATGCAAGAGAGAGAGAGAGAGTCTAACTGTAATATTCAGAGCACCTAAGAGAGTTGCAGTTAGGGTAAGAGAGGGAAGCTTAAAGAGAGAGACTAACTGCGATTTTCTGGGAAAGGCTTAAGAGGGTAGGGTAGGTGTTCGAGCTAAAGATTGAACCCAATTCCAGTTACTTGTGTCTGTTATATAGTAACCAACATAAAGTCAATAACAAAATAATTAGAGATGGAAAGGAAAAGAACACGAAACAATAATCAAGCAAACCAAACCAAACCAAACATTTAGCAAGAAGAGAGAAAAAAATTTAATAACTAAAAATAGGGGTTTCCCCTCGTACATGTTCCTCCATGAAATGGAGTTCAGCATAAATATCATAAACTAAGATAGATGTAGGGAGGGAGAGAAAGAAAATAAAATAGCAATTGAGTGAGCAAAGATCCATATCCATAGTGGTGCAACTTCGAATCCATGCTCAACCCAATACCTCTCACCTCAACCAATTCACGAGACTTGCATGCAACGTAAGCCCATTTCCTCATGCCATGCCATGCCATGCCAAGCCAAATTAGGGTTTAGAGGGTTTATGATCATTCTTGAGGTTTTAGAGAGAGCTGGATTCAACACAGTCAAGTCTTAGAGGTAAATTAGGGTTTAAGCTAGTGGTAAATCAAGGATACCAAAATTCCAAGTGAGATAGAAAGATGGTCCCCATAAGTCCATTGGAAAGTGCTTGTTATTATTGCAAGCTTCAAGTTGTGGGGGGGGGGGGGTGAATCCATTCATCTTTTCCTATTGAGAATAAAAGAAGGTAAATGAGTGTCAGTGCCAAGAAGAGACTGAGAAGAGTGGGTGGTTCTGCCACCCTAAGAAGCAAGCATCATGGTGCAGATGTAAATTGTAACCCTCAGAGGGATAGTGCAGCCTCAACAGCAGCCTTGCTTGCGAAACCGCAAAATCACTGAGCACCACCCCCTCGAAGCCACACACCCGCATCATCTCCGCCCACCTCTCGAACCTCTCGTGCCTCTCCCTCTCCCTCTCCCTCCTCCCGATCTCTTCCTCGTTAGCCAGCACCCTGGTGATCTCTCTCCCGAACCACACTTGCTCTACAGCCATCCTCTCTCTACTGCTCGGAGGCACCGTCGCCTCCAAGGACTCAAACAGAGCTGAATAGTGGCTCAAGGCCTCCGAGAACCTTTCGGTGAAGCTCGGATGGTTGTGTCCGGCTTCACGCTCCGACAATGTCAGGACCCTCGGGTTTAGGCCCTTCAATGCTCTCAATAGGGAGGGGAGGTCGTGGCCAAGGTGCACATGGAGGTGGTGCACACAGTTTACCGCCAAGGCCTCGTTAGGCTGAGCAACCGATGCTATGGCTTGGGGCAAGAGGAGGAGGTCAGACAAGGAGTTGGAGAGGAAGGGGTGAAAGTGGAAGTCGAGGCCAAGGGTTTGGGCGAAGCGGCTGAGACGCGCGCCAGTGCGGTGGAGGTTCGAGAGGTCGGGGCCGGTGCCGGTGATTCGGATGGTGGCCCCGTGGTGTGGAAAGCGCTCGGCCATCGCCTGCATGAAAGGCGGCCACTGAACGCCTTGCATCGTGTTCAGGTCGACTATGTGCACCGAATTGTGACCGTCCAAGGCATCGAGGATGGCCTGGTTCGCTGTCAAGTGGCTGAACCTTATAAATGGGGTGATTTGGTTTAGAGAGAGAAAGGAGGACTCAACGGTTTGCGGGGTTACCAGAGAGGGAGGTATATGTCGTGGACTTTGTTGCTGCTGTTGCGGTAAGGGGAGGCGGAGGTGGAGGGATAAGGCAGCTACAAATTGGGAGACGAGGCGGTCGGTGGAATCGCCATAAGGAGAAGAATTTGAAGAAAGGAGAGAGAGAATGCGAGCTGCCGACTGCAAATCGGAGCGAGAAATGTGCTCGGCGCATGTCATGAGCAGCTGCCGTAGCTGTTGGGCCGGTGGCGAGCCGCCATGGCTTGGGAAGCCGATGCGGAGGTGGTGGTCGGAGGGGTCTTCGTCTTCATGGGAGGAGGAGTCCAAAGAGCCAAGCATTTCACAGTAGCGTAATCGCACGGATTCTCCACGAGCTTGAGCCAGAGTGGTGGTGGTGGTGGCGGTGGCGGTGGTGGGGGGTTGGAGAGCGAGAGAGAAGGCGGAATGGGTTGGTACATAGAGGGAGAGTGATATATGAGGAGGAAAGAGATGATGGAATGCAGTTTCTGTGACGGGACATGATCTGGCAGCAGAGAGTAGTAGCAGGAGCTTATGTAGATACTGTTCATGAAACAACTCTTTTTTCTTGTTTTTTTTTCCTTGTTTTGGGTTTGCAAACTATAGAGGAAGAGAGATTAGATTATGTGGAATTCTGATTGATCGCAGATTAAGTAGAGAGAGAAAGTGGGTATCAGAAGTCCCTTCCTTAAATTTGGAGGAGAATTCCCGTTTCTCTCTCTAAATTGGGTTGGTAATGGTGAAGAGAGAGAGAGAGAGTGTGTGTTCCCAAACACGCAAAGCCTTTAATGGGTGAACAGAGACTATTCACTCCTCCCTCCGTTTGTCTCTATCAATCTATGGACCTAGAGAGAGAAAGAGAAGGTATGATGGTTTTCAGATAACTTCCTTGCAGAGCCCCCTATGCTTGTCAGAACAGAAAAGACTCTTAAAACAAGCAATCCATCTCTCTCTAAAAAACAAACAAACGAGAAGAAAAGAACCCCTCTTTCTCTCTCTCTCCTCTTGTTACCTCAACCTCTCTCTTGCTTTGAGGCCACGGAATTTCAGAGCACAACCAACCAACCAACCACCAATCCAAAAATAATCATCCTTCTCCTCGTTCCCTCACATCAATGCAAAACCAGGAGGGAGGGAGGGAGGAGAGGTAGAGAGAGAAAGCATCTTTGTACAACCCATTAGCAAACAAATAGAATATTGCAGGCCAAAAAGAAGCGCATTTACAAGCCCATAGAATATTTCAGAACCATTTGTGGAAATCAGAGAGATCATAACACATCAACTGATTTCCATCCCTCCTCCTGCTCCTGTTCCTGTTCCTGTTCCTGCTCCTGTTCCTGTTCCTGTTCCTGCTTCCTTTGAGAGAGAAAGCTCTATAGTGATCCAGGTACTCTCTCTCTCTCTTATTTGTTGTTCTATTCCGATTATTCCCAACTCTTCTTTTTGTCTAATTGATTTTTTGCGGTACCCGAGGCTCACTCTCTCTTTCTCTCTCTATCTTCTGCCATTTCTTTGATTACTAAAAAATGTGTGAAAGATCTCTCACTAAACGTGAGAAAAGCGAAAACCACCCTTAAACTGCAAAGGAATCTCCTTTCCCTCCCTCGTGCATGCACAGTATCATCAGATTTTAAAATAAAGAAGGGCTAATGAAAAAATGGAACCATAAAACCAAAATAAATGAGAAGAAGAAAAAAAAAACTGGCATATAGAAGAGAGAGAGAAGCTGGTGATTTTTGCTGTTTACCTCTCACAATAAATACATTGATTTGACATGCTCAAAAGTCCACCCTTTACATTGAGAATCTTCTGCCCTTGTCTCTCTCTCTCTCTCGCTCTCGCTCTCTATCTAAAATCCCCAAGCAAGGCATGGCATGGCACGGCACCTCTCTCTAAACGTCCCACTTCTCTCTCTCTCTCTCTCTCTCTCTCTCTCAGGAAATCTAAAGCTGAGAAGAGTAGAGAGAGTGTTTCCTTATGGCAAACTCCATAGACAGTAGAGAAAGAAAGGTTTGAGTGGAGTTGAAGGCATGCATTTCATGTAACATTTCACATCAAAGGCGGGACCAAACATTTAAAAACTAAATTTGATGACCCATGGGGAATTAAGCAACACCCACATCCATAAAGCCCTTTTTAGAGAGAGAGAGAGAGAGAGAATCAAATGGAAGGGTGTCTCTTTCTTATATTCTTTGTACATCGCCATCCACAGGTATCCTTTTCCTAGATAGAGAGAGAGAGAGAGAGAGACAGAGAGAGGCTATATAAACTTTAGGACGCATCAGTCCACAGTGAACTGTTCCATTTGATTTCCTGTACATAAAAAGATGAGTCTCTCTCTCTCTCTAGAGATAGAGATAGAGAGAGAAAGAGAACACTTTCTCCTTCTCTCTCTAGAGATAGAGATAGAGAGAGCGACGCCATTCCCCCGAGGCTGCGGGCCAAAAAAGTCATGATTCTGTGCCAACCACTCAAACTCCATTTCCCAACCCCTATTCCTTAAAAAAAAAACCCCCAACTTGCCCACTTTCATTTCAAATACCCCTCTCTCTCCAATACAAATTACTTTTATTATTATATAGCAAAGATTGTTCCTGAGCAAGTACCCCCCCTCAAAGATTTAAAAAAGCAATTGCACCTGAACTTTCTCTCTCTCTCTCTCTCTCTCATATATGTTATGTTATGGAGGGGTAGGGAACAAAGGTGTATGTTGCTGCAGTTACCCCAACTGCACCACAGAATATACATACATCAACGTCCAGCCTTTGGAGATGATTCATCACATATCCCTTTCTTTTCTCTTCTCTTCTCTTCTCCTTTTTAATAATTTAACATGCTTTTCTTTTGTCTCTTCATTGCAAACGACCCTCCTTGCCTCTCCTCTAACTTGCATTCTCACACTTTTAGAGAGAAAGACGAATATATACTCTCTCTTCTTCAAATAAGTTAAATAAAATAGGGTATTTTGGTAAAAAAACCCATTTAAAAAAAATCGCATGGAGCTCTTTGGGATGGACTCGGTTTCTACATCGGGCAGGCCCGCATATATGTATAAATATGGGCCTCTTGATAAATATATTTTTGAGATGGGACTTTTGGACTCTATTTTTTAAGGGAAGGTGGAGATCATGAATATCAAAAAATAAATAAATTTTAAAAATTAGAAATAATAATTCTCTTAAAAAAACATTTGGACCATTAATTTCCGTTGTTTTTAGATAAAACACCTGCCTGCATCCATCTTTAAGAAAGATGCTTCATGCTTTCTGGACCACATATGTAGTCATGCGATCCAGCCCGTATGAAAGAAGTTTCCTTTTGCGATATGCTAAGTTGAAAATTGTAGTTCATGTGTTTGTTAAAAGATAATATAATATTTTACTATGATTAGGGTTGAACATGGTTTTCAAACCATCAAAAGATTTTTGATAGCCCAAATTTAAAGGTGTGCTCTACTTGTATATTATAAGTTGGGCAGCTTATAAGAACCTTTTTTTAGAATGTTAACTTGGGTCTTGATAGGAATGAAATCTAAGACACCTTGACTTCTCATGCTTCAACTATTGGATTTTGATTATATGTTAATAATGTCACATATTATTATGATCTAACAATTGTTGTTAACATCAATTTGTAAAATTATTCTCGGCTCACTCCCAACTGTCTAATCATGGTGAAAGTAATGGATCTACAAAATATATAAAGGAAAATTGTTTTATGCACGCTGGACTGCATTTCTACAATATGTCGTCCAGAGGTATAAAGCATCCATCTTAAGGATAGATGCAAATAGGTGGTCCATCTAAAAACAATTGTAACTAACGGTCTAAATGTTGTTTTAATATAATTATTATTTTCAATTTTCAAAAAAAAAATTCCCATGTCAAAGATTATATATTCTCTAAAAATAAGAATCAAATTATATTTAAAATATATATTTATTGTCATGCCCGCATTTGTACAATATGTAGGCTTGCCGAATAGAAACCATGTCATATATAAATCGTATTGTAAAATATATAAAGGGCGTGGTTTCTATAAAGTGCCCACCTTATACTATAATACAAGTAAGCCGTGCCTCAAAATTTTGCTAAAGATAGGAGTTTTGGTGCATAAACCATGGCTTGAAAATCCATGTTGAACCGAAATTTAACATTTTAAAAATGGTAAAAATGTATAAATACTTGAAATTTTAGAAAATAAACAGTTTAAATAACTTGTTATAAGATACATTGTTTTTAAGATTTAATTATTATTATTGTTTCTTTATATCCACCCATCTCATCTTGCTGTTGTGATGATAAGCTACAATATTTTGCAACTTCATGACACTCTTTGAAAATCTTGTATAATAAATAAAATGAAAAAAGAATCGTGTATTTTTGTAGTACCATTAGGGGCGCCCTTTGAACATGTGTAGGGGCAGTGGTAAGTAGGTACGGTGAAATAAAGACACGCATTTATTTTGGGAGCCAGGCATTTACTAAGATCCCCTCCCCTTCGCATATTAAACATTGGATTAGATGATAATCGCATAATACGGGGCTACAATGCCATGTACATGAGGTGACCACTGATTGATTGCTGTCTCCTCCTTTTCCATATTATGATGATCATTGAAATTGTAAATGTGATTGTTATTTATTTTGTCTTTTATTGTTTGTCCTCTTTTTCTTTTCCATCCCTCATATTAAGCTTTTTCTTTTTTTCAGGGGGAAGGGGGGGTGTGGTTTACAAGTCAACCTTTTTTTGTTGGGAACAATTCCTAAAAGAAAAAGAAAAGCCATTGGATTTGTTAAAGCATGGAATGGAAGCATCTTAGATAACTTGTGAGTTTTTTACATCATAAAAATATGTTTATTGATGAATCATAAAAAAAGCTAAGGTTTAGGATGGGTTACAGCGTAGGTAAGGGTGTAATTATACACAAATAAATATACTAATATGAATAAAATATATTTGTATGAACAAAGGGTCTCCCCACTTAAATTGTTTGGTGTTTTATTAAGGCAATGATGGGGAAAGTTTAGGGAGCATTTGTTTGGAATAACATGAGACCCCTTTTCATCAAATTCTTTCCCTTAGTCCCTTTTCTATATTTGTCCTTTTACTACCCCCACTCACTTTTGCCTTTTATAAAATTAATAATGAATAATAATATCCATCACTTTTGCCTTTTATAAAATTAATAATGAATAATAATATCCATCTAATGGAAAAGGTAAGCAGGTCACCCAAGATTCTATCTCATCAAATAACCTTCGAAATGCTGCTCCCGCCCCTTCACCCTTTTTTAATTCACCTTTGTATCCATTCACCCGGGAGAGTATGATTTATAATGGAAGAAGTCCTTATAAGGCCTAGGCTTTATTAAAATCAAATAAAGCCTCACCTTAAATCTTATCTTCATATCCATGATGGTTAAATCAATTTCCAATACTACCACTAAAATTTGAAATTCAGAAAAATATATACATCTTGCAGATCTTTGAATACTTATTTTTAAGATAAAATGGATGGTCTAGATAATTTGTTAAAACATACACTACATTTAGAGCTATAAATCCTAATTTTTTTCCACAACTATAATGTTCAAACCAAGATGATCAATAGAAAAGTTGGAATATTTTAATGCTTGAATTGAAATTTTCAAAGAGTTATGATGTAAAGCTTTACTCTTTTGATAGGGCTGCCGCACTAGGAAACCATTTTCCATAATTTGTACTCATTCACTCTAGGCTTTGGAATTGAGAGAGAGAGCATAGCATTGATTAGTAAGTAGAGAATGGTGTTTGATATGCGTTTGATTATGGGGCAAGGCAGGCAGAGGTATGTGAAGTGGGGGTGGCAATAGGCAAAAGAGGAAAATGATGATGAAATCGATTGCCCCCTTCTCTTCACTTGCACTCTTCGCTGCACCCCCTTCCTTTCCCTTTTCCTTTTCCTTTTCCTTTTTATGAGAATTAAATAAGTTTATTCACAGTTTTATTCTCACCATTGATTCCCTTGATATAATGTATTCATGTATATTATATGCTGCTGCTGATTACTTAAATCCATATGGTTGAGCATATTGGAAGGGAGGGATCCTTCATTGGTCAGCCACTTTCTTATCCTCTAACCAAGGGCATGCAATAATTAAAGAAACCATGGTCGGCTCACCTTGCTCTCTCTCTATGTCATGTTGCCGTGTCATTGTAGTATAATGAAATTACATTAGGAGAAAACTACTTTTGTAGTAGTTGAAAGACCCGTAGGTACTCTCTTCATCGTAACAATCAATCTCTAAAAAAAAATTATACTGAAATTGCACCTTAAATATGGTCAAAAAAATGAATCTCAATCATAAATTTAAGATTTAAGCCTTTTGAAAATTCAAAATCAGTTTTTCTTTTTTAAGTTAATGATAACAAAGCCATTAAAAATGAGACGCACCTAATAAAAATTTTAAAACAATAATTCGTAAATCTACACAAAAAGGCTATTCTAGTATTGGAATACCTTACAATGGCTATAAAATTTATTTTTATCCCTAATTATGAAATTTAAAGCTCCAAAAATCATGCAGTGATTCTATAAGCACTCAATCTTAAAAAAAGAAGCTTTAAATAATGTGTTACAAGATGCACTTTTTAAGACTTGAAATCTATTTTTTTTTTTTATGTTCATATATCTTGAGGTAGCAATGATCAATTTTAAAGCTTTTGACTTTTGAACAACCTTTGAGTGAAATTTTGAGGTGCACCTTACTTCTAGAATATAAGGTTCACTAACTTATATAAATATATGCTATAGAAATAACGTGCATCTCAAAAACTCTCTGAAAAATGTTGTGATGCAAAAAACAACCCTTCGATGGTGCACATACATCGAGCTTCCAAATTTTGGAGAACAAATCGGAATTGGCGGGCCTGTACTCTTCCATAAGCCACAGATCTGTTGGGTTAGGGGAGCAATTGATCTTCCGAGGCGAACCGCAACCTAATCTAAACCCACCAAGAGGACCCAGAGTTTCAGGTAGAGCTCTAAGTTCAGCTGGACCTAACCGTGTCTAGCAAGGTTCACTGCACCCATACACACACCACTCTGACCTAAGGATCCAGGTCCGATTGATATTAATCCAACCATATACCGTTCATGGTCGTCCCAATCCAAACCCAACTTGTTTACAACCCATATGGGTTGAAAGACTGGATGGTTTAGCAAATAAGATGAGGATTAATCTCTCCCTCCCTCTCTCTATGCACGTTTGTATTGTCGAGGTTGAATTACTTTACCAGGTGTTCCATGAGTTATCTTCATTCTGAATCTTATTGTGAAAGGGAAACATTCTATAGAAATTCAGCTTATAATAGTACGTATATAGGATTCTTGATTAGGTGTGCAATACCACATATACTTGATACCATAAGAACTTGAAAGTCAAGCATACTTGTGTAAGAGTAGTACTAAGATGAGTGACCTCCTAATAAGTCCTTAATGCGGTACCCCTTTATACAGGTAGTGGCCTGTCATATCCATTGATTCATCCTAAAAAAAAATAAAAAAATAAAATAGGATTCTTAATAACAAAGGTAATCTCAACGCCGTAGAAGAATAGATTCTTTTAAGAGGAAACAAAGGGAGGGAAAACAAATCTAGGAGACCTCGACACTGCTCTTGAGCGAGGAGCTCTGAGTTGATTCTCTCACCAGATTTCACCTCTGCATAAATTACAAGGAAATGCATACATGTAATCTGATGATTGATTTACAACATCCCTCTCTCTCTCTGGGGTCTCAGCGCCTGAAAGCATTTCTTTCACTAGCCTCAGAGGAGCCTTGGAGATAGAAAGCTCGGCTTCGAACACTCTCCTCAATGGTGGTGGATGCTCTTCCATCCCCCTTCTCCATTGTTGCCCCATACACTCTCCTTTGTGTCTCCTCCAAGAAATTACGCCCGCCGCGACCCTTACTGGTGGATGCCGCCTCCTCTCGAGCATCGGCCTCAGAGGCCTTGTGGAGTCTCTTCCACCTCTGATTCTCGTGCCTCTCTGCATCAAGCTGCATCTCTCGCAACCTCGCCGCCTTCTCTGCTTCTGAAAGCTTCTCTCTCTTATGTGGTGGCTCATTTCGAGGAGGCCTTCTGCTAGCTTCTAATGAAGACGATGATATCCCCTCTTCTCTCCTATCATCTTCCCTTATTTTACCAGTACTATTATTCTTCCTAGTATTATGGTCTAAAGTTCCATGGGCTTCTCTACCATATGCCTTCTCTTTATCAGCAGACCTTGAAGAGCGGTGGTGCTTGCTCTTTTGTCTCTCGCTTTCACTCGCAGCTGATTCTGAGTCTCTCTCGTATGCCTTGTCTTTCTTCGGGGACTTGGAAGAGCGGTGCTTGCTCTTTCTTCGCTCGCTTTCACTCATATCTGATTCTGAGTCATGGGGATGGCTACGCTTCTTTTTTTTCTTTTCACGAGACTTGTATCCTTTGTGCTTCTCTTTCACATCCAGCTGCTCATGATGGATCTTGTATCAGGAAGGGCAATGGAAGATCAAGAGAGTAACAAATTTCTTCATTTGATGAATTCAATTTTTTCAGTTTTCTTGACATAGTTGGGAAACTAAAAGAAATAAAAAAGAGGAAAAGATTAAAGAAATGTTTTAATTTTCTCCCTTATATTACTTCTAATCAATATCCTATATTCTTCAATGTGGAACTTCGAATGATAAAGAGAAAAAAGGAACAGGTAATATTTCTCATTATCTCCAGATGTGTGGGTCCGTTTCACAGCACCAGCTAATTAGTAACAAATGGGTGAGATTCCAAACAAAAGTATTACCTTCACCATTAAAAGAAATCAACTGCCATTTTAGAAAGAACCATATTAGGAGAACATTTAATACCCCTACCTAATATTTTGAGGCAAAGAGAAGGGAGTTAACAAAGAGCGAAGCAAACGGATAGGAGAGGCATACAGATTTGCGAATCGTTTCCATTTTGACAGGGTTGTTTTTTATCTTGGCAAGGGCTTCCTGCTCCCTCTGCCGAATCATGAGCAAGGGATCTGAGTGGAGTTTCCTCCATGCATCATTTGCAGAGTGCGGCTTGTCTACAAACAGAGCCCCTGGAACAGATTCTTGTTGCTGAAATTATCAACATACAATTACTCATTTGCATGTAAGATACAGAGAATAAAAAACACAACAAAATTCAACCAAAGAAATATAAAAAGAAATCAAGTAAGAATCAAAATAGCAGAAACAAAGCAGCAGTTATTCACAGTGGAAGACACTCAATTGAATTGAAAGCGACAAAACATAACTCCATGTTATATTTAATTCATGTAACCTCACATGTAATGACTGATAAGTACGAACACTAAGCACGGGCACTGCACGTCCACGTGCTATGGAAAATTGAAGTAGAAGTAGAAGTATGATTTCATTAACATCTTTGTTTGTTTTTTTCCCTCCTCATATCTAGTAGCTGAACAAAGTTTAATATCTATAATTACGTTAGGAAAATATGACATAAAAAGTCTCCAGATCCTTAAGAAGGCCTTCCTACAGGTATTAGCATATTTTGTCATTAAAGGCTATAAATGGTCTCCAGCACATGAGAGAAAGTAAAATGGGGAAAGCAATGTCCCAAGAGATAAATGTTACGCATCATGTACTCTGGACAGCCAGGCCTGGATAGCCATGCAGAGGTTGGCAAGGTTCTGCCTCACATCTAGGTGGAATGTTGGCATATAGGACCTTCTAGGAACACATCTAAAACCAGGCGATGCAACAGATCCCTATCCCTGCATTATGGTCTACTTGCCCATCTTCTGGCCCAGAAAACAGCAAAAATCGCGTAATAATGTAAATGAAAGCTCATTCTCAACATTTGAATTTTTAACTTTTCAATATCAAATTTACAACTATATTCACAAATCCAAACAATAAAAACGTCCTGATGATTAAAATTTCTTGCCAATAAGACCTAGTAAATGAATGAGATAACAAAAGGGATATGCAAATATCAATAAAATGGACTAATTACTTCTTAAATCAATGACATGGTTAAGTAAACCAATTTATGGGTAACTCCTCAACTAGTTTGTTAGATAATGCAGAAATTGTCCCTGTTCCAGGTTTGGAACCCAAAACAACTAAGGCATTTTGATGGTTTGGCCATTGAAGTTACTTGAGCCAAATGAACTAAACGTCCTGCTTGTTCTGGATTCCAAACCCTAACTATTATATTTTCATTAAAAAATCTTGTTTTGAGTTTGAAATCCATAACAGGTGGGGGTATCTATTTTGAAAAGACAATATGACACCAATCAAGCAATACTAGAGAACTACAGAGAGGGAACAAACTTACTCAAGGATCAAGATCATTTAAAATCAAGAGTTTTGATTAAAGGGGGTTCGGGAAGAGTCCCAAGCGCTTGTAAGCAACTTGTTTCATTTACATCCAACTTTTATACAAAGAAGGAACACCTTTGATCCATGACTACAAAGATATTCAAGGGGAAAAAAACGTTTACAGACATCAGATACTAGAATTCATGTATTTCGTATACCTTGCATAAGATCAACGGGGGTCAAGCTGCTACTTTTTCTCTCAAGAGTGCTTTGGGCTTTGCCTTGAAAGTTCTTGATTCGATCTTCTTAATCTTCCTAGAAATATGAAGATGTTTGTATCTTGGAAGCTTTCTTGAGATTCAAGCAGACTTTCCCTCTCCAAACAATGATCCAATTGTATTCAAAGCACCCCTTTATAGAGAGGGCGTGAAGCTTGATGAATAAGGTAAGAAATCTTCAATTTTGGAAGACTTATCTTTTCAAATCTCATGTTTCCGGATTCTCCTGTCTCCAAAGAACATCAGTGGATCATATCTTGGAGATTTCACGCTTATTGAACACGATCCCATGATTTGAGGAACAACTCAGATTATGTGTTCTCCATCAATCCTTCTTCTTTAACAAGTTTCTTGGGATTGTCATGTCCTAAACTTTATTGGCAGTGTTTGGCTGTATTTTGAAACACAATAGAGACAGTAACAATACAGAATGACCATATGGTCCTGAACTCTGGAAGCCATGATAAAGCCTTACGATTGAGTTGAATTTTTGGGAGGTAATTTGATCGGTACTCTAAAGTTTTCTGCCAAGCTACAATACCTATGAAGAGCGCCTTCTCAGTGAACTCTCACCAAGTATGGATCAAACAATATCTACATCATCCCAAATTTGGTAGATTATTTGGGGATCTCTATTCAAATTTCATAGCATTTAGAGTTGATTTAAGGGGCATACTAAAAGCTCACTGCAAGCTACAGTACCATCAAGCGCTGTTGCTGCATCTAGAATTTGTTCAAACGAAGACCATGTAAATCTCATCATATAAAGCTGAAATTTGGAGGGTTGATAGGGGATGTTTGAAGAGGACGTGGGTAATCTCATTCAGTTTGGATATCATTAGGAATACAAAAAAAATTGGAGTAACGCTTGTCAGTAGCAGTTTGCAGCAGACCGTTGGACTTATAAAATAAGAATAAAGAAGTAAAAAAGCAAAAAATGGAGTAATGCCAGTCTATTGCAATTTTCAACAGATTGTTGAAGTAGAGATCACCTTGGGCTCTAATGGGTTACCTTAACGACCTCCAATCAAAACCGAATTGTTTATGTGAATAGAAGAATGTCTTGGAAACCTACAAATAAAATTTTATGTAGTTTGGATATCGTTAAGGAAATCCAATACAAAGAGGCACTCATTTATTGCAGTCTGCTGAAATCGAATTCGCCATAAGCTCAAATAGATTAACTTAATGAAATTAATCCAAACCATAATTACCCGAATCTCTCTGTGGAGGTCGTGATTCCAGTTCAGAATCCCAATCCGACAAGGGATTTTCACAAAAACCATTTCCTGGAACTTAGGAATCTAGATTCCATAAGTTCGGAATCTCGTTTCATACCTTTTTAGGAATCTCGGCCCCAAATTTTTCGAATGTCAATTCCAACATTTGTTGAATCTTGATTCCACGTCTGTTGATTCCTGATTCCACAAGTGATGAATCTTGATTCATTAAGGTTTTGAATCTAGAATCTAACAACATAAAATACCTCAATTCGTATGAGCAGGGAACTGTGATTCAATAAACATGGAATTTTGCTTCAACCTCCACAAGATACCTATTTGATGTCAAAATCTCTCTACCCACGTGGTGTTGTGTGTGCTTGATGTTTAAACTGAATTTCTCCCCTACCACAATGGCATAATGTGAATGCCAGCAAAAAATAAAATAAATAAAATAATAAAAAAAACAATGCGAAGTACATAATGTCCAATTTCCTGAATGCTGACCACTTTTTAAAGGGTAATTGAAGTAGAAATCTTCATTCAATTTGAATGCTTCTAATAGTACTAGGATTGACTTGAATCACATTTCTAATAGTGCTAGGATGGACTGCCTTTCTTTAAAGTATAATTGGTAACTACAACAAATACAATAAATACTGGCACAAAAACAATCCTATTTTTTCTACATAATAATGAAGCAAGATCATAATATAGAAATACATGGGATAACATTTTTATCTTTTGTAGATAATTTCCCTAGTGGACCTTGAGTTCAATAATCAATACATTGACTTCAAATATGAGGAACCCTTCTACAAGTAGAATAAGAGACATTTGATATCGATTGCTTAAATAGGTTCAATAAAGATTAAAGCGCGAGATGCCGTTCATATAAGAAACTTATTTCTATGGGGCTTCGTAGTTGGACTCCATGCCAGTTGGGATCAAGCTCAATTCTAAATTAATATGAATCCTGATTCCAAACTGGTATAAATCTTGATTCCACATACATCAGAAACTTGATTCCAAACATGTAGAAATCTTGAGTCCAAATTGGTGCGAATATCGGTTCCACATACGCTGGAAACTCAATTCCTAAGCTTTCAAAATCTTGATTCCTTGGGAGTCAATTTCAAGGATGTAGGAATCTCAATTCCAAGGAGGTCAAAATCTTGATTCCATATGTGGCGGAATCTCGATTCCATTTTGGTCAATTCTCGATTCCCAAAAACTAGGAATCTCGCTCCCCACGATTCCCCATTGCACGGACGTCGATTCCAAAAACAAGAATCTTCTAGCGGGCCACGATTCCGTAATTCCAATTTTTAAAATGATTCAGGTTCCCAGGCGTTTTCAACAACTATGATCCATGCATGGCCTTTCTCAATCTAGAAACTTTCCCGTTACACATCCCAAAAAACGAAACCCAGGTGGAGATACCACATACACTTCTTGTAATTCCACCAAGAAGGAGTGCCTTGCATTCTTGACGTCCAACAAATACAAGGGCCACTCAAAGTTAGCTGCCAAAAGAGAAAAGTACTCGAATGGAACGTTTGCATGCGTTATGCGGCTGTGGGCGCATGCTCGAATTGCTTTTGCGAGGATTTTGTGATGCAGCCAGATATCCGGGGCATCGACCGCATATTTGCCCATGAGCAAGGGAAAACAATAAACCAACCCCTCATCCCCAAAAAAAAACAACGAAAAAAAAGAAGAAGAAACTAAAGGTGCTTGGAAAGGGTTTGACCCCCCCAACCCCTTCCAAAAACCCCTAGAGCATTGCTTCCACGGTTCTTGGGGGATTGGTTGGGGAAGGGGGGGGGGGGGGGGGGGCGGCGCGACAAAATGAAGCACACAATTTTTGCGCTTTCAAAATTTTAGGAAAAAAAATTTGGGGTTCATACTTGAATCTTTGGTGGATTGTTTGATATTGTTTTGGGCTTTATTTTTAAAGGTTTCTAGAGAAGATTCAACAAATATTTGAAGAATTCAAGGCTTAGGAGAGTAAGTCCAAGAAATCAAAATTTCTATCGGTTGTAAGTTATATTTAGGTTGTCATTGTGGGATAGTGGCCGTGAACTTGCGATCGTGTTAAGTATTTTTGGTCTTGCCATTATACTATATTGTTATTATAATTATTATAAAACCACTACATATAATCAATGTTAATTGTATATTAGTTATTATATATATTAAAATATTACAATACAATATCATATAGCATTAGATATATTATTATATATTACATATAAATTGATTGGGATAAGGCTTGGAGGATGATGAT